ACATAACAAAGCCTACAGTAACACATAACCAGGGAGAAACATAACAAAGCCTACAGTAACACATAACAAAGCCTACAGTAACACATAACAAAGCCTACAGTAACACATAACCAGGGAGAAACTTAATAAATAAGTATCATTGTAATTTTATTAGTTTAGAACATGATTTCACCGAGGGCGGGATAATGAAATACATAAATAACATTGTAATTTCATTAGATCAATGATTTCACAGAGGACAGGAGAATGAAATAAATAAACGACATTGTAGTTTCACTAGATCTATGATTTCACCGAGGGCGGGATAATGAATAAGATCCAATGATTTCACCAAAGCCGGGAGAATGAATTACATAAATGATATTAATTTCATAAGATCCAATTATTTAAATGAGGGCGGGAGAATGAAATAAATAAATAATATTGTAATTTCACTAGATCTGATTTCACCGAGGGCGGGATAATGAAATACATAAATAACATTGTAATTTCATTAGATCAATGATTTCACAGAGGACAAGAGAATGAAATAAATAAACGACATTGTAGTTTCACTAGATCTATGATTTCACCGAGGGCGGGATAATGAATAAGATCCAATGATTTCACCAAAGCCGGGAGAATGAATTACATAAATGATATTAATTTCATAAGATCCAATGATTTGAATGAGGGCTGGAAATGAAATAAATAAATAACATTGTAATTTCACTAGATCTATGATTTCACCAAGGTCGGGAAAATGAATAAGATCCAATGACTTCCCCAAAGCCGGGAGAATGAATTACATAAATGATATTAATTTCATTAAATCAAATGATTTGAATGAGGGCGGGAGAATGAAATAAATAAATAACATTGTAATTACATTAGATGCAATGATTTCACGAAGGGCGGGAGAATGAAATATACAAATGATTTGAATGAGGGCGGGAAAATTGAATGAATAAATAATATTGTAATTACATTAGATACAATGATTTCACCAAGGGCGGGAGAATGAAAGACATAAATGATATGGTAATTTCACTAGAACCACTGATTTCACATGGGATGGCTCCAAGAAATACATAAAGAGAATGAAATTACACTGTTGCTCAGTTGGAGGTTTTAATCCATGTGGTCGTATGATTTCTGCAGTTCTAAAGTTTCAATGGTGTAATAAAACAAAACCAAAATTTATGAGGTTTGAAATAATTAGTTTTATTATGATAATTACAGATGTAAAACACTGTAATATTACAATGTTTATATGACCTTCAATAAAAGCGATGGAATACAAATTATTTTCTTTCCTATAAATTTGTCATTGCTGCTCATTTATATTTGAACAACATAATATACAGTTTTACACATTTTCATAACAAATGACTTTCTTGTTAAAACTAATTCTGTTGTAGATAAATTAATAAATTCAATTTCATTGATAAGTTAAAATTTTCTAAATCTGTGTAATTTGATTATAATCCCCTCACATACAGTCTGGGAAGTAAACAAATTGTTTCTTGATTTCTGCAAATCATTATAATGAATCGCAGAAATCAAGAAACAATTTGTATAACTAGATCAGTGACAGTCCATAGAGTCAGGTTCACATCGTCTCAGGCCCAGGAGGTCTTCACTAGCCCTTGTCTCTCAAAAAAACACTGAGATCATCAATTGTGCCATTTCCGGAATACTTCTTCAAAGACAATGTTGAATGTTTCAACCTATCTTTATTTTCACTGGCACCAGATTACATGTAGACAAACAGTGCGATAGATGCGCTGACTACTCGTTGCTGGTGTTAAAGCTGACCTTGACTATGACCAGATAAGTGACCATTCTGTCTGGTGCTTAGTATGGGCGTGGTCTGTTCTGTTGGTAAAATCTCTGCTGCTGATGTTGCTGGTGGCCACCTCGGCTATTATCCTGTCAAAAAAGAAACAATCATAGGATACCTGTATGGTCAAACTTTGGTAATTGATAGGTGTGATCAATGATTCCTTAAATGATTTAAGATGAAACTAACTGTAAACGCATCAACACTAATCGAAAAGAAAAAGTTAAAATAATGATATATCAAACACAAGATATTATCCAACTGCTTCAAAACAGATTTTTTCTCGTTTTCTAATACAGGAAAAATAATAATCCTAGAGCATCCTACCATGTCAACTTACTCTCCTGTTGTCACTGTAGTGACCCTGCCCACCTCCATAGCTGTCTCGTTGATTTCCATAGTTACTTCCTTGGTTTCCATAGTTACTTCCTTGGTTTCCATAGTTACTTCCTTGGTTTCCATAGCCACCTCCTTGGTTTCCATAACCACCTCCACCATACTTATTATGACCACCGCTGCGCGAGTCGTAATTTTGGCCCCCTCCTCTCCCTCCACCATATCTACAAAACAAAGAAACTCTTACCAATCTCTACAAACAAATATTCATTCCGGCTCTTGACTTCTTTAAATTCTGTCAACAGGAATAGGGTCATTCACTATTATGATAATGGTATACAATTATGATAGTAGCCTTTCTTACACCAAAAATGACAAAAAGGAAGTAAATATATTTTTTTATATTATATTTTTATTTATATTTTTTAAATGCCGCACATCAAGACATTCAGAAAACTAAGTTTATCTAAATGTTTTGTGTTAGTAATGAGCCTATACTTGTTATTAAGATCCACCATCAACCAAAATACACCAAACATATGCTTTAAAGATTAAATAAATCATCCCTACCCCTTCAACCTATTACATTCAAGGGTCATATCCAGCAAAATTCCATTCTGAAGATTGGGCAAAGGATCCAAGTGCCCATTTTACAACCTAAGGACTACGGACAAACTAATCTGAATTCATTCCAACAAATTGTATTGACAAAGGTGAGGAAGTGTAAATATCTAGTTTCTATATATCCATGGTAATACATCTTTAACAAATACAACTCATTGTCAAACCTTCCTTTACATCACAGCTTTTTCTTTAATCAAACTAAAATCTGTATATTAAATAAACTTAATCAGTGCACCACGTTTTCTTTCATTTGTTGACTTTGTTCGGTGTTTGTCAGACCGTTGCTGAGACAAACATTCCGAGGAGATGCGAGGTTGGTAGGAGACGTTGTCCAGGTGTTGTGTAACAATAGTCACTGTATAGATGATCCAGCTAATTTCCTTGTTTTTAGTTGTCATCATTGACAGCTCGTCCTGTGTACACAGCAAAGTTATCGGGGTTGTACAAAGCTCCCAGGACCAAGAAAAATCTGGCGGTTTTGTTTACAATCAGCATGTGTAATGTATGACGGCAAAAGGTCTGACACCTCCAGGTACAATAGAGGATAATATCTTTTCTGGGGGAGAGGACCCCCGTGAGAGCAGGGACTTTGTGCGAGGAGCAGAGAGCCATGGGGAGTAAGTTAGACGATACACACAGGTGTGCAGGACCCGGCCCTGACAATCCAGTCATCTTCAAGTACTCCTCTTCAAATTTAATTGCTACAAGATCTAAGAGAATGGCTTGCTAAGACCACAATGCTGTTTCCAGGTCAATCAATGAGTCTAGCCTAATGAGATCGGTTCTCTCTTAGCAAGATAGAGAATGCTATCAAGAGATTGTTTTCCTGTCATAAAAGGGAAGATATTTTCATAGGACTCAATACAACCCTCCAAACTAACACAAAGTTACACGATAGTACCCTGTACCCAATCCTAAACTTAAAATATTAAATCAATACTACCATATTCAAATGCATTTTGTATGTTTGTGCAAATTGAATTCATTAAAAATTTATCATGATTATTTTTCTTTTTTCACTGAAGTATTTAATTGATTGCTGTAATCTTCTTTGAAATGAACTAAGACATTCTCAATTAAGGCATTTTTATTTTTGTGATAATATGTACTATTAAAACAACTTTGTTGAGGTGCAAACCTTCTTTTGCCTCTATACACCATTATAAACCATTGAAAATGTAGTACGTGTGAAACACATTCACTGTTTTTTCACAGTTAATATGGTTAAAGAAATCCAACAGGGAAAAAAATTATGACAAGACTTAAACATTGTTTGCATGAGTATCTGTCACTGTAGATCTAAAATTAAAAAAAATTACCAGCAAATAATTAATTATACCTGCTGAGAATAGTTTTACTGATATCATAAAGGTAAATACTGTGTATTATTTTTATTCGTATAATTTCAAAAGTGTAAAGTTAAACTTGATTAAAAAAGTAGCAAAAAGTAATTTTGTTAAAAATAGTAAAACCAAACTTAATCAAAAGATAGTAAATTGCAAGAATTAAATTTATTTGCTTCTCTCATAAATTCAGACTGAATTTGCTATCAATTTTGAACCAATAATGATTTTTGACAATTTTAAATTTTAACCCAAACATTTTGTTTCCTTGTTTTGATGATAATACCTGTAGTTATCAGTAAGTGACCAGACTAAGGAGATAGGTATTTGAGAATGAAGTTTTCCTTGTAATTAAAGGAAGTGTTACAATACCACAATTTTGTAAAAACTACTAATAACAGAAGCTTATATATTCTATATCTGTCCTGAAGATAAAAGGAATAATAAAATGACTATTCAAATCAGAAAAATAAAATTAAAAAAGGAAATTGGAAATCTACATTTTAACCAGTGATTTTTATCAGTAAATTATCTAGCCCGTCCAAACAAAGTGCACCACACCTTAACAACACTGTTTACATACCACAAACTTTCTTTTATAAATGATCATTTATTCTATCTATGACAATTTTACCTAATCTGCTGTGCCGTATGATATAAAAGCTAATCAAGGTGTGTAGAATATCGAGAAAGACCACCAGTGTTGTCGTCGTCAGGCCAAATTACACAGGCTGCTCAACCTCATTCACCAAGCTACTGTTGTTATATTACAGCTATTGACACGGCCTACCTCGAAAGTTTCACCTCTCTCCTTAATCTTTGATCGTCAATTATAATATCACTGAGTTCACCCTCGGGCTTACAGTTGTATATAGTGACAGGATCTCTGGAACTCGTTTATTTCTTATACCAAGTAAAAAAAAAAATGAAGGCTAGATCTATGCCAATCACATAAACGATTAATAAAGGGATTTACTTTTGTCTCGTAACTTCAAACATACCGATACATCATGAGAACCCAGGGGTCAAGCCCCCAATTGAAGGATCACCTAATTAAAATGATTACAACTCCATGCAAGAAAACATTTTTTTGTCATAATTCTACTTGTATTCTAACACTGCTGTCAATGCTGATCCAAACATGAAGTTCTGGGATCCAACTGATGTCAAAATAGAGAACAGTTTTGGATAGCTATTCACTCATCATAATACATACAAGAAACACCGACCAACAATGTCTGTACGAGTCAAGTCACTCTAAAACTGATACCTTTCATCTGCCGCCTTTGAAGATATCTAAACCAAAACCCCTTTAGGACCACAAAGTCGCAGTGAATGTTACCATTTACAATATCAAAGTGACAGTAATTTTGCGATGATTTTTTTTCAAATTATAACCTTGTAGACTAATTAATTCTTTTACCTGAGAATGTCTTTGCCTTTTTTTAACGTAAATCAGATAGTTTGAATACCAAAGTAATAGATCGTTAAAAGTAATTAGTATGTACATGTAGTCTGGTATATTGCTTAGAAAAAAACTTGTTATGAGTGAGATTTCAGTACATTTCTTAATAAGATAATTAAAATATAATGATCACTGTTCTCACTAATTTTCAGCAATATTTCTTTATTTGAAAGATATGAAGCATTTCAGATTTGTTTCTTTTATCATAATAAAAATTCTGAAATTTCAATACCACAAATGGAAGAAAATTAAAAGAAAAAAGACAGCGCAAGTAGAACACTGAAACATGAGGAAGGGCTCTACAGAGTGCCTGTCAAACCCCCATCAAAACAAGGTCAATGATATGTTAGCTATTACAATGCATGAGAAAAACACCATGTACCAATCCAATGCCAATGTGTGGATTTCTTTAACTTTATCAGAACCTGGATTTTTTTTATTCCGTCATTCTGTGGAAATCTTAGACCAATCTTTGCTTAGTATACACATTACTAAGCATACACATTACTAAGCATGCACATAACTAAGCATGCACAGAATTTGTTCAAATTCGAATTTAGTCTTTGAATTTATGAGATATAAATATTGAACAAGTTTCATCAGAATCCAGTCATATATATATATAGTGTGCCGAAAATGCAAATAATTGAGAGCATGGTATTTAAATTAATAATGCACATATTTTGCTCATCTTGAAACTTACAGAGTTTCATCAAAATTTAATACTATTAAGCAAGTAATCTCATGGGAACCAAAGTGTGGACGGAGTGACGAAAACTTTCCGTACTATATGATATAACTTGGATTTGTTGTGTCGTAGGTTTTTGCTCTCCCTAATGAGGGTTAATTTATCATGACCCTGAATATAAGTACACAACATACAATATATAGTAATTACATGTGAAGGTGAAATTAGCACTAGGAGGACATGGATTTGATCAGCTAAGGGCGAATATTTAACTGGGCAAAACTTTCTCGGTTAACAACAACATAACCCGTCAAAATTTCAAATTCAGAATTGTCACTTTTATTAGACTCACCCCTGGTTGTAGCCTCCTCCATGCTGTCCTCTTCCTCCATAACCACCATTACCACCTGTAAATAAAAGTACAAAAAATTGTCACTTTAAATGTGATTGTCATTAACTTTATATATTTCAAATATTTTTATTGGAGTTATGCCCCTTGTGATGGAAGGAAGGGGAGGGTGTGCATGTTATAATTCAGCCTGTAGCTTTCAGTTGTAGTTTTAAATAGTTGCTAAATAAGGGCTGCATTGTAGTTGTTTTTTTGGTAAGAAAATAGGACTATCTAAATGAATTTGAAATTTAATCCCTGAAATAGAGGGAAGGAAGCCACCTTGATATGTCAGTGGGTCAGTTACGAATCAAGGTGAAGGCTCATAGACTCAATTTATGACAAGGTATCACATAAAGCGTAGCCTAATTGATTTGTTAATCTGATCATTGTTTCCTACATTCAGAACAATTAGTGAACATATGGTAATAGTGTAGCTGATTTGATGGTGGATTTAATGCCAACTTAGACACACTTTACATCATAGTTTACATACACTCCACTGGTCTTTGATGAAGGTAGTAGCAAAGTATATATCCTATTAGTCATCATGTTTTTTATTAATGAAACATTAATGTTGCAATAATTACAGGGAAACTTTTACCTGGTGTTTCCTGTCAACAGTGAAATGCTGAACATAACATAATTCTTCTAAACTTTCAATGCAAGGAAAAAAATTATCAAAATAATATTCCTTAAAAATCTATGATTATAAAAATCAAATTTTGGCAGAAGGTAAGACTTATTCAAATGATTTTAAGCTTTAAGATCTCGTGAAACATCTAACATATAAGTATGTAATTAAATCCATAATTATGATACATGTAGATGTTTCTATAGTCACCAAAATGTGTACTTTCAATCTTTTTAAACGTTTATTTTTGGAATGTCATATATTCAAATAAAAATTTGGATAGTCTGGTTTAAAACTGTGCCGTAGACTAATCAGTGACTAGCAGCTGTATGCCCGTGTCACCACGCCGAATAGACAAGACCTACACAGGAACTTGGTAGGTGATGCCTCCGTCCAATCACACTCAAGTGTACAAATTGGATTTCTGAGTGTGCAAATGACAAGATCCGGAACTACCGAGCAAACTCCAAGACATATCATACTTGGACAATTCTACCTTCCTGTTTTCACCAAGTCAAATCAGCACCAGTATACCTTCAAAGGGTGACACCGAGTGATGTAAAAAGTACTCAATGATGCAGAATTGGACGCTAACAGGGTATGAAAGAGGGGCTTAATCATTTACAACAACACATTCAGCTCGACAAAATGGCCGAGAAAACCCATTAAATCAGGGGTAAAAGAGATGAAGAAGCAGGCAGGAATTACTGTCCCACTGTCTGACAAATCAAGCCCAAGCTATTGAATTAACAAGCTTGGCCTATCAGCTGGCCCGGGGGCACGTCAGCTCTGACACAGACGACCGCCTCATTAGGGATTCCCCACGTCAGACAGGCCCCAAAACACAAAAATCACTCAACTCAGCGATTTATCAATCAAAGCAAGATAATTTGTCAAATTTGTCGCAAAATGTATAGGAAAATCATTAAATGTGGATGCATTTAGCCCTGCAGGCTTTAAAACCTGGGCGTGACAAACAGATGCTCGGAGTTGTCCTCCCTTGTATGGGGGAAGGATGGTGGAAACTCACGGTATAATTACCGAGGTGTAAACATGTAATTTACTGCTGGGATAATCACAACGTCACTATTTCTGTGACAAACACACTAATGTGAGGCCGACTATGGTAATAATGCAGTGTATAGGTGAAAGTGGTTTTATTGATGCTTACAATGCACAGGAGGCAGTAATGACATATTTATTTAGAAAATGATTGCTACCTTTTATCTAGCCAATAATAATGATGAAAATATGACATTATTGAATAAACCATTCATAAATTTGGCAATAAATTCATTGTGTGTGGCCAGTAGTAGTAATTTAAAGATTTATACAGGGGAAAAAAGACAGACTTCAAAGACAAGAAATTTTCAACTTTATGAAATGAGATATTTCCTTTGATTTAAGAAGCTACTTTTTAAATTATTATAGATTTCAGTAAAACTATTTTCCTAGATCTGAAACGAATCCCAGGAGAAACTCTTGACTAAATTTTCCAGTTACTACTAGGTAAAGAAATGGTGAGATGAGTGATCACATGTCAAGAATGTCAACGTGATTAACAACAAGCTGGTCAATGAAGTTGTGCATAAACATGTTTTGTAATTTTTATTTTTAAGATATATCTTATTTGTGAATGTAATGAAAGGGTGCATGAAAGTGTTGCTATATATGTTCTACCCATTAATAAATGCACCCCCCCTCGTTCAAATTGAAAATAAAGATTTAAGTTCACCTGCTCACTACACCTGTTGACACAGATTTATCATTTCTGACCTGATACAAACATAGCTGGTTCCTTGCTTCACTACCTGGAATTTAGTGTCGGTCATTCAGGTGTAGCTATCAGTGGACCTTGATCACGACCTCTGAAACACTGACCTCTATTGAATTTCTTAAAACAGAATAATGATACGAGTTCACTCCTGCTTTGTTTTAAGGATCCCCATACCACATTTTGCATTAAAAGCTTTTTTATGAAAGAAAGGGATGAAATAAACAAACAAGAGATCCCAGAGGGATCTTGGCACCCACCTTTGTACCATCTTCATTAGTTCTTTGTCAGTTCGATCTTTACTCTTCTTTCCTCTAATCTGTTTTATCAAGTCATGTTAACAGTAAATGCACATCGAGGTAACTTTTGATCTAAACTTAATACTGATGTGTATGAAAGCCAACCTTCAAAGTGAGTTTGTCATTTCACATATTTACTAGTACAGTACTTAATGTGAAAGAAATAGAATTGATCATTGCAATATGAGAAAGATCTGTTTAGTTCTTCCTTTAGCCATTTTGTTTTTATGATCAGTCTCCAGATATAACATGCACAACGAGGGGTCAAGGGGAACCTACATATCAAATTTGAGAAAGATCCCTGAAGATATTCCTGAGAAATAGTACTAACAAACCTTCAATGTCAAAAATCGAAGATGGCTGTCGGTAGGCCATTTTGTTTAACTGATCAGTTTCAAAAGTAAACATGAATAATAAAGGATAGTGGGGAACCTGCATTGGCTGGCTCAAAATATATTTTTTGGGCGAGTAATAAATTTGAAGCACTGGCCCAAATGACATATTGGTGGCCCAAATAAAGTTGGGAAGAAATATTTCCACAGCATTTAACACCATGCATGTTGTTTACCCGTTCAGTCTTAAAAGTTGCCCTGCACAGCTAATGACCAAGGGAAACCTACATATCAAATTTGAAAAAGATCCCTTTGATACTTCTAAAGAAATAGCGATAACAAACTTTCACTATCAAAACCTGGATGGCTGCCTGTCGGCCATGTCGTTTATCCGATCAGTCTCAAAAGTTGTTCTGCACAGCTAAGGACCAAGGGGAACCTACATATAAAATTTGAGAAAGATCCCTTTGGTACTTCTTGAGAAATACCGATAACAAGAATTGTTTAAGGACAGACGACGGACCACGGACGCAGGGTGATTTGAATAGCCCACCATCAGATGATGGTGGGCTAAAAATATAAACAACAGTGTTCCGAGTGTACAAAGTTCAGCGGGACAAGACCAGGATTTAAACCCCCAATCTTGATGTGTTATACTGTTACTGGGCTAATGGGCTACTTACTCAATGGAAGTGCATGTCCAAATTGCACTATAGTTAGAGCCAAAACGAAATTTAAAGGGGGGGGGGGGGGGGGGGGGGGGGTGTAATTATATAAATGAAAAACCACATTGGAATTCTCTAGATCTAGTGTTACGTCAACAGCAGGACATAGATACTTAAAAAGAATCTGTAATAATTTCTTTACACAAAATTTGACAATCACACCAGTAAGACATGATTTCAAGTACAAAATAAATTTGAAGGTTCTTGTGTATGACATTTTTTGTTTGACAGTTTAAACACTGGGTATGTATACCATTTTTTGATTACATATATGTAGTAAAATGTATGTTTCAGCATTTTGGATTATAAATGCCAGAAAATTTTGCTACTTTTCTAAAAACAAAGAATATCCAACTTTCTGAATAGAGATTATCAAAACAATAATTACAATAGATTAATATACCAATATTTATTCCAAAACCCTGACCAATCAGTGATGGTTTTACAAATACAACATTATCAGGCACACTGACCATAGAGCCAGCCTATACAAAAATGTGGAATGACCTAGATATATCTATTAGGAATTCGGCTACTCTCAGTTAATATAAAAACAAATACAAAATTAAAAGGTAAAAAACATAATAAATGCTTTCTGGTATGGGGTTCCCCGTAAACTAAATATACTTCATTGCCGTTTGAGAAAACGTGCAAGCTCTCTTAACTATGACCTATTTAGAGCAAAAAAAAATATAATACTTTCCTCTGTCTGTCCCCTATACACCCAGCATAGAAATCTATTAATAAGAGAGTTACAACCTTTTCTTGATGATTTAACTTTAGACTTTCTCCTATATGGCGATCCTTAATTCAGCAATGATAAAAAATACTCAATTGCAAAATCTGTTCAAAATTATATCAGCAAATGCAACCGCTTTGGCTGAATGTGATCATCTTTCTATCTCTATCGATCTTTTTTCTCCGACTCTACCTGTGTTACTATCCTTTACTTAGTTTCTCTCTCCATCTTTTCTTCTTCTCTATTTTCTCTATATAAAAACATAATCTATATATATTGCGTAAATTATGTTATCAAGTTATTGTTTATATTCATGTATTTAAAGAATAGGACTGTGATAAGTTGTGAAAACTTGTGTCAAATTTTTCTGTAAATATTTATTTGAAATAAAGTATGTTTAAATCAAAAATAGAGCCAGCCATGATATACACATAGAATTAACTGCCTGCTTTACCTACAGGTCTTTGATGTTGCTGAATCAGAAGACGGAAACGTGGCCATGCATCTCAATGTGAA